GTACAAACATCTAACCCAAGAGAAGAATCAAAAGGGCGCCACAGATGATCACATCGTGGTTGGCCCATAGATAGCACCTGAGACTAAGTAGGTAGCTTTGTTGTGCTTACTTTTTGTCGCACGGATTCCGCGACGAAAGAGTGCCTGCAAAGTTAAGAAGAACCCCTGAATCTCAAACCCCCAGCTCAGTAGCCCAGTAACCATATCACAATAAGGGCAACCCTTTTTGGGGATAGTTACTTTATAAGGGAACCCAGAACCAAAAAAAGGGTAAAGGGTACCACTGGGCTACCAAGTCAGTAGATGAAAAGACCATTCCTTTCATCCAAAGACATGCTAGTCCCGTGTCGGCCCCCAAACTGCCCTCACCAAACCAGCCAACACCCCCCACCCCGCCCCAAACCCAATAAACCCTAAACCGTACACCTTAAACCCTAAACCCCCAAATTCCTGAACACTAAACCCCAAAAACACCAAAAACCCTCTAGACCCTAAACCCCAAGCCACCACACAAGACGGGGCCTTGCTATCCTTGGCGACCAAGAGGTGCGTGCCCCATGGGTAGGGCTTGATCACCTGGCACAAAACACGCCCTAAACCCCAAACCCCAAACCCCAAACCCCAAACCCCAAACCCCAAACCCCAAAGCCCAAAGCCCAAAGCCCAAAGCCCAAAGCCCAAAGCCCAAAGCCCAAAGCCCAAACCCAAAATCTAACCCTAGACCCGAAGCGAGGGCCGAAGTGTACCTGAATTTTGCATGTCAAAAAAATAACTACAGGGTACTCGGGCAGGGGGGGGGGTCCTCTTTTTCTTCAGCATCCGCGCGGCTCACAGCCGTGTGCGAAGCTCTGAAATGCTCGCCTCAGAAACTTGGCGCAGCCCTAAACTCTAAACCCTAAACCCTGAACCCTAAACCTAAACCCTGAACCCCAAACCCTAAACCCCAAACCCTAACCACCCGACTGGCGCTCATTCAAAACGTCCGTCGCTTCTTGGCTTTCTTCTGCTCGGTCTCGGCTGGCTCGCGCGACCCCAAGAGCCTCCTCGGAGAATTGAGTGGTACCCTAAACCCAAAACCCTAAAAACCCTATAACCCCTATAGACCCTTATAAACACTATACACCCTAGAACCCCTTACTAGCCCTATAAACCCTATAAACTCTATATCCCCTATAAACCCTATAAACCCTAAGCCTTACAGTTTTGAGCTAACAGCCCAGTCACGACACGGCCGTTGGAAGTGTTCGCGCTTTGAGCAAAGCCTGGACAGGTCCGGCGATTCTTGGCGCGTGCCAGTTCCAGGCCAAGGAGGGTTTAGGGTTTAGGGCTTAGGATGGTGTTGCAGATTGTTTAGCAAGCCCTGCCGCCCGGGAACCTTATACACCGTAAACCCTAAACCCTAAACCCTAAACCCTAAACCCTAAACCCTAAACCCTAAACCCTAAACCCTAAACCCAAATTTCTGCCGCCCGGAAACCTTATACACCCTAAACCCTAAACCCTAAACCCTAAACCCTAATTTCGAGGTTATGCCCGATTATGCCCTAAACCCTAAACCCAAAGCCTGAATCTTGGCGTTCTTGGCTCCGAAAGCAGCGCAGGCTCGTTGCAAGGGCTCTAGGCCTCAGCTTAAGGGGTTTAGGGTTTAAGGTTTGGGGTTTAGGGTTTAGGGCTAGGGTTTAGGGTTTAGGGTTTAGGGCCCCAAACCCGGGAGTACCCGAAACCCTGCCTGGCTCGGAACCTCTTCTGACTCACGTACTTACTCGCCCCTAGAAACCCGACTAGAATCCTAACCCCATATACTACGTCAAAGGTGCTGCCAAGTAAACCTACCTCAGAAGTTGAATTTTCTTATCGCATGCGACGTGTATTCTGTCGTGGGCTATCATGTCGTGTACATGTACAGAAGCGAACTACCCGCACGCACACTTACAAACTCTTCCCGCCTCCGTGACTGATGCATGACGGTATTCATGAGTTGGGGGTTTCCGAAATTAGGGGTACCCCTTTGGGGGTCCCTATAAGGGCATTCCTTTCTATTTAGGGCATAAAAGGGGTACCCCTATTTGGAAAATGCCAAGTCCTGACAAGCCCAACAAGCCACAAGAACCACCTGGTAATGGTGGTCTTCTCGGTCCAAGGTCCTTCTCATGAAGACATCAGAAGGAAAAACTCGGGTCAGTGTGGTATGTGAATCACACAGTTAGTACAATCCTGGTGTAGGTTTGCTCTACTCCAAGTTCTCCTATAGCTCTCGAGCCAGGCAGCCTTTGAGCAGCGAAGCTTCGGCGATAGCCACGAAGCTCTCATCGGTAATCATCTCCCTGAGAGGAGCCGAGAGCATTTCCACCACGCCAGGGACCTGGCTTTCTCCACCAGAACAAGGCGACTAGAATCGGGGCCCGAATCTCCCTACACATGGCTCATTGGCTCATAATTCTGACAGTATGCCATAGCATATTACAACTTGGTGTAGTATGCAGTATGACATAGTAAAGTTATGCTGTGCTTGACTTTACGAAGCGGGGCCCCTCTTCAAGAAAACAAGCCTGATGCAAAAAACCCACCTGCCAGCGGTGAGCCAGGTCCAGCGCAACCAGCATGGTCTTGTAGTCTGGATCACCTTACTTCTCCAGTAACCCGGGAAGTATAAAGCTTAAACTTCAATGTTCCTATTCAATAAGGAAACCCAGAAGGTTTCAACGTTCAACTTTTTGGAGAAGTAAGTGGCTGTACGTCGAGCCAGCGTAGAGAATGTCCAGGAACAGGGACACGCTGGCGCTCGGCGAGTCTCGGATGGGGATTCGCCGGCTGGCGCCCTCTTGCATGGAGGACCCCAACATGGCCTTCAGAACAGGCGAGGCCACCTTGGTAGCCCATTATAACCATCTTGGCATACCCCCACCGTTTTTTTGGTTGGTATACTTGATAAGGGAACCTTGAGACAAAAAAAAGGGGGTGAAGGGTTACCAGAGGGCTACCAAGCCGCCATGAGGACATGGTCGTGGGCTGAGACTTCGCCGTCGGAGGTCTCAAGGATCACGTTGTGCGTGGAAGTCAACTCGCGGATGGACTCCCAGAGCTCACAGACGCTGTGATGCACTCCAACTTTTGGAGTCGTAGATGGCTCACTTGCCAAGGTACGCACCACAACTTCAAGAAACTTGATGGATGAAGACCAGTCTGCTCCACCCTTCCGCTTGCGCATCTCATCTAGCCACTTGAAGGCGTATGAAATTGCAGAGTGTCCGGCCAAGTTTACTGACATTTTCGTCTTTTCAGTATCATCCTCTTTCCACATTGACCACGAGTCCTTTACCGTGTGTGGTGCCCTGTGTCTTGGGCTTGCTCCGGCCTCTATCATCCATTGAATTACTTGGATGGCGTTGCCAGAATAGGAGGGGTCGGCGATGTTTGCGCTAATTGCAGCTGCAAGCGGCAGCATGCGAGCTCCGCCGAATGTCAGGCATGCGTTCCAGTCAAAGTCGCGGCCTGCGAATCTCTTCAAGCCTGACACGTCACCCAGATTGATGAAGCCAGCGATCACATCCGCATCGTGCGACTGTGACGAAGCCATCTTCTCTGGAATGAGTTAAGAATACATCTAACAACTAGCAGAGAAAGCAAGGAAGGAGTTGACTGTTACTAGTTACCCTTTATGGCCGACCCTCCACTGCCCAACGGGCACTTCCCCTGTTCGATGGTCCAAGTGCCTTGAAGCCACAACGCATGACATCAATCAAAACGGTGCGGGTGCCGCCGGGGGGGGGGGGGGGGGGGGGGGAGGGCACTTTAGGGTTTAGGGTTTAGGGTTTAGGGTTTAGGGTTTAGGGTTTAGTCTGCACGGGAATTATGCTCTTCAGACTGCTACAATCACAGTCGTTTAGGGTTTCAACCTCTTGACACCCAGGAAGAGGTCAGTGTTGCCATGGACACTGTCGAGCATCTACTTCCTTAACTTGCCAGAGGGGGGGGGGGGTTCAAGGTACTTTAAGTCGTATGGCCTTGGGTGAATAGGGGAAGCCCCCAAGGCCCCCAAATCCCGAGTCTTGGGTTGTGTATGGGTAGAAAAACATGGAAGGGGCACGGCAGGCTCCCAAACTACGGGCCCATGCGAAATGACCGGCGTCCGACCGTCTCATGCCGCCCTCAGAAGTAGCTATGGACTTCCCGCTGCCATATCTGACCCCTAAGCCCTAAACCACTAAACCCCTAAACCCCTAAACCCCTAAACCCCTAAACCCCTAAACCCTAAACCCTAAACCCCTAAACCCTAAACCCCTAAACCCTAAACCCCTAAACTCATGAACCCTTGTGGGGCCGCACGGGGCATCCGGAAGGGCCCTGGCAACAGTTAGCTTCAGATGCCATAAAGCCCTTACCCAAAATGCATCTGCGTGGCAGGGCCGAGGGGCAACCCCAAACCACCCCCAAAAAGCCTAAGCCCCCCCCCCGGCCAATTTGAAACTCTAGTTGACCTCTTTTCCAAACCCTAAACATCCCAAAACCCAAAACCCTGGTCCCTGCACCCTGCAAGCTAACCTTTCGGGTATTGACGAGGGCATCCCAGACCTAAACCGGCCTAACTAAACCTCAACTCCTGAACCTTAAGCCCTCACCCCCTAAAGCTCTAAACCAAAAAACCTTAAACCCTAAAAGCCCCCAAAACCCTAAAGCCTTAAACCCCAAAAGCCCAAAAGCCCCAAAAAACCCAAAACCCTAAAACCCTACGACCCTTACCTAGACCGGAGTCGCTCTAAACGCCCAACAAGCCAAAAGCCCTAACACCCTAAACCCTATAAACCTACACCCTATAAACCTACACCCTAAACCCTAAACCCTAAACCCTGTAAACCTACACTCTAAACCCTAAACCCTAAACCCTAAACCCTAAACCCTAAACCCTAAACCCTAAACCCTAAACCCTAAACAGCCTTCTCTTTGACGATGTCGGTGGCATCCGCCAGTTCCCAACCTCGAAGCGCAGGACGGTTAAGAGCGTTTAGGGCTTTGGGTTTATGGAGGTTTAGGGTTTAGGGTTGAGGGTTTAGGGTTTAGGGTTTAGGGTTTAGGGTTTAGGGTTTAGGGAGCTTAAGGGTTCAGGGCCTCAGGGTTTCAGGGGGTGAGGGTTTTAGGGTTTTAGGGTTTAGGGTTGTAGGGTTTTCGGGCTTGGTTTTTAGGATTTTAGGGTTTTGGGGGACAGGCATGAGAGGTTTCAGGGTTTTGGGGGTTTGTGGGGTTTGAGTTTTAAGGTTTAGGGTTTGGGGTTCAGGGCCTATGGGCTCTGGGGTCAGGGCCTGTTGACAGTTTAAGCGGGCAAGGGTTTAGGGTTTAGGGTTTAGGGTTTAGGGTTTAGGGTTTAGGGTTTAGGGTTTAGGGTTTAGGGTTTAGGGGTTGGGGGTTACGGGTTAGGGTTTAGGGTTTAGGGTTTTGGGCTTACGAGCTTAGCCTGGAGTTGTGGGGTTCGTTGCAGGGCTCCTGGAGGGGGCCGGCCTCGCTTTAGCTTTTCGCCACTGTTTCGGGAGTTCAGAGAGAAACAGGTTTAGGGTTTAAGGTTTAGGGTTTGGGGTTTAGGGTTTAGGGTTTAGGGAATGGCTCAGTGACCAAATTCACACGCAGTTGCCTTAGCTTCCTGAACAAAAATCCAACAACATCTGCGGGCCCAGCAAATGTTTGGCGCTCTGCAGCCCGACTGCAAGAACATCGCTACCCGGCTTAACATGAAGCCCAGTGTCCTCCCCAAGCATCCTAAGCCCTAAGCCCTGAACCCTAAACCCTACACCCTAATCCCTAATTATAAACCCTAAACCGTAATCCCTAAACCCTAAACCCTAGAAACCCTAATCCCTACACCCTAAACCCTAGAAACCCTGAAACCCAAACCCTAAAAACCCAGATCACTAACCCTAAAACGCAGCCCCACCTCGCCTCCCGGGATCTTGTTGTAGGTCAGACCTTTCGAACCCTCGTTCGGCTGGTAGTAGCGCGGGGTGACGTCGAGGCCTTGGGTGTTTGTTAATCTTACTATGTTTTTTTGTTTCGACGATGATTATTATCATCATTATCATCATTACTACTACTATTATTACGATGATTATTGTTATTTGTTTCTGTTCTTTTATTTATTTAGGGCTTGGGTTGGTAAGCCTTCCAGGGTTTAACCCTAAACCCTAGAGCATAACAATAGCAACTTCTTATGAACCCTGAGCAATAAAAAAACACCATTGTAAACCCTAAAGCATAAACCATACCAACTTTCTTATACATGTGGCAGGTGAGCACATGTCGGAATATACACAGTAGGGTGATGGGGGTGAGATCAGGGATTCACGAGTTTTTTTGGGCTTATTTGAAGCCTGTCGGGCTTTGGGGTATCTGGGGGTGTTCTGGGGTTAAGGCCCCAAACCCTAAACCCTAAACCCTAAACCCTAAACCCTAAACCCTAAACCCTAAACCCTAGACCCTAAACCCTAGACCGAAACCCTAAACAAAGAGCAAAACAAATCACTGACAGGGGCCCTTGCAGGCAAGTGGAAGCCAGAGTCAGAGCTTAACGCGACGAAAGCGCAGGGTTTAGGGTTTAGGGTTTTTAGGGTTTATAGGGTTTATAGGGTTTAATAGGGTTTATAGGGTTTATAGGGTTTATAGGGTTTATAGGGTTTATAGGGTTTATAGGGTTTAGGGTTTAAGGTTGTGGCATGCTCAGCTCTGCAAGCAGATGACGGACGCAGTCAAGAAGACTGGGACAGCTTGACTAAATTCACTCCAAACTAGTACCAAGACCGTGACCCCCAAACCCGAAACCCTAAACTTTCGACAGACCCCAAACCCTAAACCCTAAACCCTAACCTCAAGTTCCAGCTTCCCCAGTCCCAGAAGCCCCCTGGACCTATGCCCCATCTCCAGAGCCCCCCGCAACATCCCTGAAACCCCTACTTTGGCCACCAAATTCGAAACCGGACCCCAAACCCCAAAAAGGTTTAGGGTTTAGGGTTTAGGGTTTAGGGTTTAGGCCGACTCCCCGCACGTCATGCCCTCCGGGGTACCGAGGTCCGGTAGTGACTGAGGCGGGGTGAAGTCGATGGCTGCGTAGAGGTGGCCTTGCGATGATCCCCCTGATTCTTAGCGTTTTGGGGTTTAGGGTTTAGGGTTTAGGGTTTAGGGTTTGGGGTTGCAAAGATCCCCTGATTCTTAGCGTTTAGGGGTTTAGGGGTTTCGGCTTTTGGGGTTTAAGAATGTAAGGTTTAGGGTTTAGGGTTTAGGGTTTAGGGTTTAGGGTTTAGGGTTTAGGGTTTAGGGTTTAGGGTTTAGGGTTTAGGGTTTAGGGTTTAGGGTTTAGGGTTTAGGGTTTAGGGTTTCGGATTTAGGATTTAGGATTTAGGGTGTAGGATTTAGGGTTTCCTGATTCTTACTGGGAATGAGGGGATTAGGGCCCTGTTTATACCCTTTAAGGGGTTACATTCTTAGGGTTTTTTGGGTGTTTAGGGGTTTAGGCTTTCGGGGTTTAAGAACTTTAAGGCTTAGGGGATTTAAGGGCTTAAGGGTTCAGGGGTTTAGGGCTCAGGGGCTCCCCCGGGATTCTTAGTAGGGAATGAGGGAACCCTACGTATAACCCCTCAAGGGATTACATGGGGCCCTCATTGCCTCATTCCCTGCTAAGAACCGGCCAGTGATTTTCTGGCCTTTGGGGGGGCGCTTAAAGTTTGCCTGGGACTCTCTGTACCGGCAGTTTTATGGGCATGGGTTCTACCTACTATTGAAGGGGTAGCTACTACTAAACTGTAGGTAAAGAGGCCCAGGTAGGGTTTAAGGGCAGGAAGGGGTGGGGTGGGGGTAGTGTATTTGTTTTAGGGTTTAGGATTCTTGTGATCTTTCGACTCGTGATTTGCCGTTTGGGAGGGGGCAGGATCTCTTTGGACTTATTCGTCTTTCCCGTTGAACAATATGCTGTTATAGGATTTCGGGTGCAACTCGCGATTTAGGTGTTTAAGTTTGGGAACTCACGTTGCAACGCGATGGGCTTCGGATTCAAGGTGCTGGATGGTCTTCGGGCTTTAGGGGTTTTCTTCTCCCCTCCCTCGGTGGCGTTGCTAGAGTTTTAACTAAGTTCTTCTCCTCGCCCCACTTCTCGCCCATCACCCGTATCCCACCCCAGAGTATCCCCAGAGAATCTCTTCAGTCAGTGCCCAACGCCAGCTGGGGTGCCCAGCCCAGCACAACCCCAGAGCATCCCCACAAAATTCCTGGAGTGCCAAACCCAAGAGTGAGCCCGCGAATTCCTTACCTGGTGGGGATGTTCGAAGACAAACATCTAGCGATTTCTAATATTGGTTCGGCAAATTTGGGGTTCGAATTCCGGGGTTCTACTTGCGCAAACCCTAAAGTCTAAACCTTAAACCCTAAACCCTAAACCGCCTAAACCCTAAACCCTAAACCCCTAAGTTAGTGCCCTGATGCTTTCGGTCTTCCTGGGCCGCCCCCAAGAGCTCCCCACCTTCACACTCGATGGCGTTCTGCCGCTGCTCTAAGGTGACCTGTGTGGCGTTCTCGGATTTCAGGGGCTCGGGTACCTTAAAC